ACCTGCCGCGAGATGTTTTCCCTGGAAATTTCGTATTTACTACGTACTATCTAGGGTGGGTCCTCATTCACCCCACCGGAGAGTAGTAAGTACCAATTATAAATTGACTGGGATTCTTACACCCTCCCAGGAACGTACATTTCGCCGAACTTCCAGCCCCGTTAAAGTCACCGCCTCTTTGATAGTACACCCATGCTTATCGCAGAAGCGCCGGCAAACTGCGACCTCTGTTTCTATCTTACTTGACGCGCTGCAACTGCTGGAATTCCACGTCTACTTGGCATGCCTCCGAATACACTCGCAAAAAAACAACCAACCCTGAACACGCGTCATACGCCACGGTGTATAGTTTCCGGGCGCTCCTGTTCTCGTCAGGAAGCTCAGGCTGTGGGTTCGAATTCTTCGCTTCGATTGATATCAGTGTGGGTGTAAAGACTCCGGGACTTCTCAGGCGCAGCGAATTGTTGACTCTTAATCAGCTATGGTTTCAACTTAGGCCCCACTGCCGACCCAGGAACTTATCGACGATTTACAACCAATACAACAAAAAACATATCATGGCGGTCATTACATTAAGTACTAACGAGCGGATGCGCGAGCCTTGCGCGCGAGGGAGGAGAGGAGCTACGTATCCAGCTATGCATATACGTGGTATCAAACCGTGGTACGAGCGTATAAGAGCAGACGTGGGCGGTGGAGGAAGAGGGATACTGGAGGGCATATAATTAGTGGGCATCGTGATGGAGGTGGGTAATCGTGATGGATCGTGGCAAGTGGAAGGGAGGAGGGGGGAATGGCGGTGGTACAAACACAACAAGCAAATAGAACAAACGCATCTAGCACGGGCGCGGCACTCGAGACGTTCCACGGACGTCGTGCCCCCACGTTACAACCCAGCAAATGAAACTCTGCTCCCCGCCCTCTCCCTTCCGCAAGGAGGAGCAAGGATTAAAAGTGACGGCCTTAAGCAAGCCCCCTCACATACCCAACAACCACCCCCGCCCCACCCATCAAGCTCGCGCTCATCCGGCGCGCCATCACCGCTGCCCGCGGGCGGATCGGCCGGCGGTGTTTCACGCGTTCGCGCAACTCCCTGATCCACTTACCCCGACCGTACCCAAACCCGCCCAACCCCCCGCCCGCGAGCCAGCGCTCGGGATCAGAAGCGGAGACCCACCCACTCAGCCGGGCACGTAGACGATGTAATCGCTCCGGCCACGGTGCAGGATGAGGAAGACCGAGAGAAAGAGAAAGGGGCGGGGAAGAGTGTCGGAGGAGCAAGCGCGCGTCGGGGTGGATGTCTGGTGTGAGTGGATGGGCTTCCACCTTGACTGTAACAATGGGGGATGCGGCGGCGCGCATGCGATAGCGGCGGATGAACCCCGCGACGCAGCCGCGGAACCACATTGCGTGGAGGGGGAATACGAGCAAGAGGAGGAGGGCGGGGAGGCGCGCGGAGAGGAATGATGTCCACGCTTCTACGCCTCCTAGGCTTGCGTGCTCCGCGCCCGAGTTGTATGCGATCGAAGCAGCACCACCGAGGGTTGGAGTGGAGAAGGAGGGAGTGGACAGGATCGAAGAAGCAGACGAGGAAACCACCGGCACCAACGCACACTCCACCAGCAGCACGACATGGAACACGATGCGCGTCGCAAAGAAGGCAAGTGCGAAGAGCACGTTGGAGCGTAGGCGGGGGAGGAGGGTGGAGAGGCCGAGGAGGAAGGTCGGGAGCTGCGGGAAGTAAATCAGCACGCGTTTCCAAATGCGATGAATGGGGAAGAAGAAAAGGTAGGATCGGTGAAGAACGAGGGGAATAATTGGAGTAAGGTAGGACAGGGTGCGAAAGGAGGGCGAAGGAACGAATGTAAGTCGAAGGCAAGGGTGGAGCGATGGCAGAGGGATATTGAAATAATGAATAAGGACGGGAAATGGAAGGGATAGAGTAAAGCGAAAGCGCTGGGAGATACAAGATAACGCGAATTGCCAGATACAAACGCGGGAGGATGGGTGGGAGAAGGTAGAACTCGAAGGATGAGGGAAAAATGAAGGGAAGCAAAGTAGCAAGAGGAGTGGGGCTAAACGACAGGAGAGAAACGGCGGCGAGGATAGGGGAACGGGACAGGTAGTAAGACGAAAGAAGAGGATGGAGAGGATGAGGGGGGAAGAAGGTGTAGGGCAGAGCGGGGAAGAGGAATTGAATATACGAGGGCCAAGGAAATGCAGGTGAGGAGAATCGCGGGGGAAAAGTCGGATAAATGGCACAGAAGTAGGGAAGACGGGAGAGTATCGAGCTAAAAATGGATGGGAGCGGAGAGGCGGGCAGGGGAAGAAGACGAGAAAAGGGGAGGAAAGAGAGCGATACCGTGGATAAAAGATGAGGGAATACTCATGTACGTGGACAGGTCAAAGCCCGAACAAGAGATGCGGAAGTTGGAAGAGGGCAGCGAGGGTCGCGACTGGAGCGGAGGATGTGAAGGATCAAGTAAAAGCAAGGGGCAAACGATTTCGGGAATGCAGAGAAAAAGGAGAAACTCAAACGCACCTCCATAACCGCACACAAACAAAACACATGCGCCCACCCCCTCCGAATCGCAAGCTCCGTAATCCCCACATACACCACATGGTGCACCCAGCCCGTCAAGAAGTTGATCTGTGCGCGGTAGCACAGCGCGCCGAGCAGCATGTCCGCCACCAGGTAGGCTTGGAAGAAGCGGTTGACAGCCCCGGCGAGCCCCGCACGCGCCTGCACACCGGCAACTCCGCCGTGCAGGAAATAATCGGCGACGAAGGGGAGGGAGGCGAGGGTCATGAAGGCGCTGGCGAGGGTGGTGAGGACCCAGGCGCGTTGGCGCTCGGTGGGGAGGTGTGGTGCGAGGGCAGGGTAGGCGGCGCACAGCGTGAAGAGAGCGGGGATGAACCTCGGGGTCGTTGATAAGTCGAAGTCTACATCCAGGACAAGGAGACGATCCGTGGCGCAATTAAGGGCGACTAATGAGGAGGCGGCGCTGGTGTTCATCGCTGCAGCGCCAACGACGGCGCGGTCGGACGCAGGGAGAGAGCGGAGGCAGACGCAGAGACGCGCCCGTTAAGGGAGTGAGTTAATAAATGGTCCGATAGCACACGTTCGTTTGGCAGCATTCATTACTCTATCACGCAGAAGCGTCGATAGGGAAAGATAAAGTCAGCGTTGACTAAGGGGCAGGAGAGCGCGCGGTTCGGGTCGGTCGGTCCGAGGGGGGGGACGAACGTGCGCTTGGGGACCTCCAAAAAGCATTAGGAGGTTTGCGGCGTTGAAGACGTAGGAAGCGTTGAGTTGAGGAGGGGCTGTGTGCTTGAGGAGGAACAAAGACGGCATTGAGGCGCTGTTTTGTAATGGGAAGCCTAGCCAATAGTTGGCGGTTCCGACCCAGCCAAGTGATCGACCTTGAGAGTCTAAACGGAAACTAGCTAGGGTCGTCAGCGGCGTAGCCACGAATGGAGAATAACCGTACATACGAACCGCGGGCGGATCAAGCGAATATGGCTCTACGCCGTGGAGACTGAGCTGTCCTCGAGACGCGCGTCTTCCTCGTGGTCCATTGTCTGCGCCCTTCCTTTCAACGTGTCGCAGTCTTCCATTTGAAAAATGAACTTGAGCGAGCCCCAAGCGGTGGAAGCGGTACAGGCGCTACAAGCGCTCCGTTGAAATTGAAATCGTGGTTTCGTCAATTGATAACGCTTGAGATTTCGCGACAAACGTGCCCTGCGCCTCTTGCCAGATTCGCAGTTGTCGATCGCGAAGCTCTTCTTTCCGACTTCTTTCCTTGCACGACGGTCCCGGAGTTCTTTTTCCATAGTCACAGAGATACGCGCAGCCCACAGTGCAGCTTGAAGAACGGCGAGATGAAGGAGGAAAAAGAAAGCAGGAGATGCGTGGAAAAGATCGCATCAGCATTGATGCGCAACGGTAACTCGGCATATGATCCGAATGCGCGTTGACAACCCTGGGCATCTCAGCTTGATCTCAGCATTACTGTACCAATCTGTATGAGTGAAACGTAACGCATAACGCTGGCATCATTTCGTTTCAAAATTTTGGGTATGTCATTGCATCGGATAATTCTATTTGGAAACCCGGTTTCCGCCATCCTTATTTGGAAACCCTAATTCTGAATAAGTTCGGAGAAACCCTGCCCATGCCGAAGTGTTTGCCGTTGCTGCCGAGGCATTGGCCGGGGCGGTACGGTGATATCTCTCTGCCTTGCCTCTTTGTGTCACTAAGGAACATTCAGTCCAGTGGATCTTCGACGCATACAACATGCCCGACGTCCGCCCTGACACTATGATATCTCACGAGCCGCCGTGGTTGCAGATCCCGCCCCCACGCATGTACAGTAAGCCAGAATATTTAATTCCAGTGCCTAAATTGACGTTAGACACTAGGTACTGCACAGGGGATTGATCTGAGGCTGCCTAAGCCTTATGAGCGACAAACACCCTCCTCGCGCACCGTTGTGGTGGAGGCATCACTATCCTGTGATTTCGGCGCTGCTCGGCATTCGGCATGAAGCGGAAATCAACAACCGAGCCATCCGGCGACCACGAACTGGCCCGGGAGGGACATGGAATGTCATTATGTATGTGCCAAAGCCTGCTCACATTGATAGAATGTCACCTGCAGCCCACCGGCATCATGTACGGCCTTGAAAGTCCCTATGCCTAAGAAGTTGCTGTAAGTGGGTTTCCAGTTAGCATTTTGGATGGGTTTCCACGAAATTTCCTTAACGGGAAGGGTTTCCGTCGGAAACCGGGTTTCCAAATAGAATTATCCCATTGCATCCGTGTGAACCATTATGAAGTACTTTGTCACAGGCAAGACTGCACTGCTCAATGTTTAAAACAACAAAATGCTTAGTCTAGGTACGAGGGTTCGAATCCCTCCGTACGCATACTTTGTGCGCGAGTATGCTTTTGTCGTTCGACTTTTGCGTTGTCATTCACCCCGTCCAGTCTTCCCAACAGCCTACATGGTCTAGTGGTAAGACACCACTCTTCAATGAAATATTGCGATGCAAGTCTCGTGGATACGACGGTTCGAATCCCTCCATAGGCATAGGAGAGTGTCGTGAGGTTTTTTCTTGCGTCGCTTGACATGGCCGTCAACCAGTTTACCTATCTCAACTCCTTTTCAACAGCCTAGTGGTGAGACACCACTCTCCAATCTAAGATTTTTAGGATGAGTATTGTGAATACGAGGGCTGGGATACATACCTCCGTAGGCATTTGGTTACACAGACCTTTTTTCTTACTCTCCTTTCGCGTTGTCGTTTGACTGTCCCTCGATTAGGTTATCCATCCTCCCCATGGTCACTGCCTACCTCGTGGCAAGACACCGCTTCTTAATTGAACGTGTCCCCGAGCGTTTGGAGAGTATACAAGAGTAAGGCCTGGGGAAATCGAATATTCCACTGCACACCTGGAGAGCACACAATATTCGACTGCACATGTAGGGACCACTGGCATACATATCCAGAGATCAATGAACCGCTGGCAAGCAAAGGCAGATAAAGCTCTGTAGACTATGGCAGTCACCTCACCTACAGCTATCATATTGATATTGAGGACACGAAGGTTCGCTTCCTGGCGGAGACGTGGGCATTACCAAGCGGATTTTTTTTGGTCTTTCTCCCATTCGCCAGGGTGCAATGTATTGTGGTCCTCAGTCATTCGACTCAGCGTTCCGATTCCTGGCAATTTTTTTGCAGCAGTACAATTCTGATCCTTTGTCTGGAGCCATTGCACGCACACTCAGGAAATAATCTAGTAGCCCGCTCACGCGGCAGGGCCCACTATCTATCTGATCCTGTTTTATCCTCAAGAAAAGAATTCTAATTGAGGTATTGCTCAAGTATTGCTTTTTGTCGTTGATTCGTGAGGGTGGTAATTTTTTTCATTCGCAAGCTTCGGCGGGCATCCAGCTACAAATGGGAAAATTTTGTAGAAGGCTCGGCACCCTCGCCCGACCTTCGGTCGGCTCGAGTGCCTCGCAAGCTGTATATGTGGTCGCTGGGAGTATATTTGATTCTTCCGCAGGGGAGACACAATAATGCAAGGCAGAATTTCCTGTAATGTTGCGACTGTTGCTGGTGCAACGCAGACTCTGTTGAATATGTGCTGTGGCTCTACGGTGGGTACTTCTAAAGCTCTAGTTCGAGCAGGGTACGTGCCCGATAATCCAGCAGGCAGTCGACTAGGAGTCTGTGGGGGGTAACAAGGTTTGAATCGGCCTTGATCCAATCAACCTTGGTAACTTCAAGTTGGTTTTCCAAAATTTTCTTCCTCGATTGACGATACAATGTCCTCATGCAGTCATTCACAAACAGAACGTTAGTTCTTTTGAGCCTATGAGCACCGAAAATGACCAGAAAACGTGACCATTTCACGCATTCTTGCTGACGTGAAAACTCTCCGTCCCGGACCGGCTTCCGAGAATTACCAAGTTCATTTTGTCAGTTGAAGGAACAACCACCGCTGGCAATTATACACGCTGCACACCGACTGAGGCCAACCATAGCCTTTCTTTGGCACAGCGGAGACTCGGGGCTCCTTGGTCTAACTTAGACGTAAGTAGTACATTTCAACATTTCGGTCCGTGTCCTTGGCCTGCGGTGTCAGTCGACTGAATGAGGTTGGACCAAGGGTTGGACGAGAAACTCCGGCACCCTCCCTAATAAAGCGCTAAAGAGTCCGGGTATCCTGCTAAATGTCAACATGACAGCACCTAAGTAATGATGTTGTTAAGTTGCCGCAACGAGCGACCTAAGAAATTTAGTATGAATTCACCGGTACTGTCAAATCACTCAGCATACTCTTCCATACAGGAGCATGGGTCAAGAGGGATTCTGAAGACCTGATTCAGACAAGATTTGGATCAACTCATCTGCTCGCCGCCATTTAAACCCACGCTGGTTGAAACTGGAATAGGAATTGAAAAAAGTGTGGCTTTCGAGGCTTGGGAATTAGTATCAAGTTCATTGTTTTGGCTGTTTGTGACCCGCCGTTCGCCGGCCTCTTCCAATCATGATAATAAGGGGCCCAAATGACCCTGTATCACGTGCACTTTGTGTTTTGCGAAATAGCGGATTTTCTTGTAGGTGATTCGGGTCTTACCGAAGGATCACGGTAGTTGCCGAAAATCACGTGCACTTTGTAAAATTGACCAGAACCGTTTTTTTTTGAGGAGGTACAAAAACCCACTACTAAAGATAGTGGGAACAACTCGCAAGAATAGGAAAATACGCCTCGGTGGACTGTGGAAGTCACCTCAACTAAATGCCGCTTTGCACAAGGTGTTGAGGAGGCGGGGGTTCGATTCCCTCCGGAGCCGTGTAGACCTCCGCGTATGCTTTTTCTCATCCACAATGCGCATTTTATCGGTCAATTCTTCCTGATGCTATAGTCCCGGCGATGCCTCTGCTCGTATTCGCTTGCTTGAGCTTCAAGCAATGCCCCAGATGGCCGAGATACTCGGCGCAAAGCGGATGCCTGCAACCTTTCACAGAAAGTCAGAAAGTGTGGCTCGGAGCGCATACTTACTGTACGGCTTGGGATAGCGAGCAAGCCTCTGTGGACGATGGAAGTCGCCTCACTCACGTTTTCTGAGCTCATGAGGATGTAGTTGTCGAGGAGCGGGTTCGAATCCCTCCAGGGCTTAAGCGCGGTGTATGGAACTCTACTTTTTCGCCTGGGTCGTGGAATTCCGGAATTCTCGAGCGGATTTTAGCTGGCTCTTTGAGGAGTGTGAAGATCATATTGGTTCAAATCCGAGGCATACTTGCACGACTCAGAACCTTGACCTCGACGTAATAGTGTCCGAGCCAAATTGGATCCAACCATAAACAGGGACCGCTATCGTTTGTGGAATAGAGAAGTCGCCCAAAAGATCTAGTACCGGATATCAAGGAGAGAGGGTTCGATTCCCTCTGGGGGCTTGCGGTGAGTGGTCTGCCTTTTTTTTTATTACTCACCTGCGGTGGTAGAATCGATACATAGTGTGCTGCTCTAGCCTCGATTGTCGAAGCATGATTTTTTCGACGCACAGTCCAACAAAACAGACGCCTCTGACACTGAAACTACCAGCAGGGTGAATCGATTTGAATAATAACGAACAGTTGCGATGATGATGTAAGAACACATATTTCTACCAATACCCTCTCCAGCGCGCAACCGCAGGCCTCCCTTTCTTCGCGTTCATAATCACCACCTCAAGGGCCGGTAGCATTCGCAAACGCATTCCCTCGCCCTTCATGCGCAGCCGACCCCGATAAACCGCAACAAAGTACAACGGGCGCACGCCCCCGTCGACGGACGGCATCATCCACGATGATCCCCTGCACCGCGACGCCACCATGTCGACGAAAGTGTCGCGGTCAAGGGCGTCGTCGAAATCTGCCCAGGACAGCGATCCGAGGCGGGGGCAAATGCACGCTGTGCCGGTGCGTGCGAGCGCCGTGACGATATCCGCGGGTGGGGTGTGCAGATCGAGCGCGAGGGCGGTGAGTCCGCGAGTCTGCTGCAGGATGGCAAGGATATCCGGCGCGGGGGCAGTGCACTCTGCGAGGGTGAGCTCGGCGAGTGTTGCAGTACGACCAGAGCGATGTAAGAATGGAAGGACATGCTCGACCGGACCGCGAACGTGTAGAGCAAGGAGCGCTGGCGCGACGAGAAAATCCAGGAACTCGGCATGGGAGATGGCGTCGGAGGCAAGGAAGTGTTACGACAGTGTTTGTGGCCAATGCGCGGTAGGGGGCGGGACCGATTGGCCCGAAATCGATATCGCACTCCACAAGGTTTGAGGCAGCGGAGAGCACACGGAGGCGCGTGGAGACGTCGGGGTATATGGCCTTGTACGTTGTCAGTTGCCCATATGGCAGAGGAACATTTGCTACTGTCGACACCCCGCAATCCCCGAAAACGACACGACGCAGCCCAGGCGCGTCGTGGAAGAAGTCGTATTTTCTGAGGTATGGCACGCCCCGGCCAGTGAGCACCAGCTCTTCGAGGAGAGGAAGTGAATCTGGGCGCAGGGCGCCAAAGGCTGAATGGGGGTCACAGGCGTCGTCAAACTCCATGTGGAGCGTGCGCCAGCGGGTGCTGTGCAGCACGAGTGTGGAGAGGAAGCGGTCGAAGGGCGTCTCGCGGTGTGAGCGCTGGCCAGAGGTGAAACGGATCAGTAAATCCAAAGGGGCGTTTGCAGTGCGCGCGAGCTGCATGTGGAGGAGGGTGGCCTCGTGTGTCGTCAGGACGGTCGAGATAGTGATCCCGATCCATAAAGTAGGTGGCAACGATTGGGCCAGCTGGCGCCAGTAGGAGCACACTTGGCCAAAAATCCACGGTCCTCCAAGTATCCAAGGGTCTCGCCAGGCGTTAGAACCAATGACAAGGACGATTGGTGAAGTGGGAGTCCGCGTCGGTAAGGAAAGACTGAAAATGTAGCACAGCAGTTCTGGCGGGATCACCGTGTTGGCGAGGGGTTGGACCTCATTCAACATGTTCGAGGACTGGGGCATGCTACCCAAGCCTTTCAAGTGGGGGGCAATCCAAGGTCGAGCAAAAGTTGAGTCACGTCGAGTCCAAGGTCGAGTCCAAGGCGAGTCGAGTCACGAGACGTGATGATTGCCGCAAGATTGCCGCGCAACGAACTCGAAAAATGGAAATTTGTGAAATTCAACAGTTCCCTGCGAATAGGAGCGGTCAATGATATTCCTCTGATTCCTCTCCGAAAATAAGAAAAGCAATTACAATCCCATTGCCATCCAACCTCGGGATTCTGTTTGGATTCTGCACGCAGCTGCGTCAGTGCGTAAGGTCGGACCAACCGGAATATCGGATGGATGGACTGTAGGGAATCGTGAAAGAACCCCGATCCGCGTGCAAAAAGCGAAAGTGTCACACCCGCTCCGCCGAGGCTGTTCTCCTCCGTGGATATCTTGGCCAAGAGATGCGAGATGCGGTTGAGATGTTCGAGACGGAATCGTGTGGATGTGCCATAATACATCGAAGAAGGAGGAGAAACCAAAATAATGCAACGCCTTTCTTAGAGCGTTGAATCTT